AAAAAAAAAAAAAAAAAAAAAAAAAAAAAAAAAAAAATACCAAAGGAAAACTAAAACAGCGAAGGGGTATAACACCTTTATGTGCATGTAATGCGTAATTAAGGGGGGTAACTTGAAAGGGAATCCTTTATTTACAAGGCAGAGACGAATTTAACTTCCGCAAGTTTTAACCTTCCATCACAAGGGCTATAGCCTAAAGCACCTCGCGCAGTTGCAGTTGCAGTTGCGCTGTGCGAGGTTCAGCGAGCTATTGGAAGAGGGATTCTCCGAAAAAAAAAAATAAAAAATAAAAAAGGAAAAGAAAAAGTAAGCAACCATTCAAATTGTATCGCGGAGAGATGAAAAAAATAAAAGAGCCAAACCTTTTTCTACATGTGCATAAATCATACAAAGCGCAGTTCAACCCCGTTAAGGGCGCGGGGGCGCCAACCCTATTTTGGGTAACCTGCGCTAGGCAAGATATAAACACCCTAGTGGCGTCATTTCGCGGACCTTCTAAACGCTGCTCACCTGAGGCATATAAATCACATTCCACCAACTGGAGTGACATATTTCAAAGCATTCGGACAAGGGGTCAGGTGTAAAAAAGCACAATGCGTAAAAATAAAACACTTTTTGTGCACGCCCAGTTACCAGGTATACATAAGTGCTTTTCTTTTGTCCCCTGCTCCCTCCCTCTCTGTTATCATCTCACTCTTAATCGTTATACTGCATCGTCGAATTGGAATAAAAGGAGATATGCGTACTCTTTTCCTTTACTCAGGTTTAGTGGCATCCTCCTTCATGCGTCCGTCCGTCCAACCGCCCAGCATGTCCACCCGTCCACCCGATGAGGATATTTCATGTTGTTCTTTATAAGCCAACTTGTCTGTTTTCTTTTTTGTATAAATTTTTCCCTTTGTAAGGAATGTTCCAAATTGCCTGAACGGTCAGGCAAAAAAAAAAAAAGGTTAACCTGTGCAGCTATCAAATGGATGTGTCGTCCACAAAAAATAAACAGATAAAAAATTCATGCAGCCCTGCCACATTCCTCAAGGTGTAGACAAAAAAAGGGGGTTACTCTTATCGTTGAGAGGGGAAAAAAAAAAGGTAACCCTTTTATGAATGCCACTCTCTTACTTTTTAGTCCCTGCGAGCAGTTCACCTGTCTGTTATATGCTCAACCCGCTGACTGTATAAAAATTGAGGCAGACACGCGCAGAATGTTCTCTGGCGAATGGCCACATTACAACGCCGTCGCGACTAAAGTTCAGTCAAAAGAAAGGGAAAAAAAAAAAAAAAAAAAAAAAAAAGGTGCATTTAGAAATCCTCCCACCCCAGTAAAAAACCCATTTGGTAGTCCTACTTGCCGGGGGGAAGGCTCTCCCAACTTGCTTATAAACTACAACTCGTGGTGTTCACAGGAAAAGACACGAGAAGGGAAGAAGGAGAAGGGGGGGGTGGCTTTGTGCTTGTGTAAGAACTTCAAGTCCTCGCCCGTGCGCTCTCCGCATGGGGAAAAAGAGAAGCAAAAAAAAAAAAATTGATGTACATGACATTTGAAAGCGATAGGCGAGATGAACGAGATAAATGGGAAAAACGTGAGAAACGAGAAAAAGTTAACGAAATGAAAAAAAAAAAAACAGCATGCGATTCCTCTACAGGGGGACACGCACACTCCTGTCCACGATGCGCAGTGCAAATGGAGAAAAAAAAAAAAAAAAAAAAAAAAAAAAAAAAAGCCTCACAAATCAATGATCGCCTTACAGAACCAAGGCGCCATAGCAAAACTTGTCAACAGAGCGAGGACGCAAAAGGAAGAAGACACGCCGATCTTCTGTTCCTTCGTGCTGGATTCTTCAAAGCAGTCACGTATTCTGGCGTAACTAAGATTTATTAACGAACCGTTGGTAGCACCCAATATAAATATGAGCACTGATACGAACACGTTCGAGCGCATATAGCTTCCATCATCTAAATTCTTCATTTTGAATGCGATGCCTAAGAGGATAACTCTACTTATGCAAAGCATAACAACGTACTTTTGCTTCAGGAAATTAAAGGCGTTCACGTACACCGTCACGACGATGTTGAACAGCATGTCGCTCAGCTGGTACAAAAATATGAACAGGTAGCTCACGTAGACGCCTTTTCCGAGCTTGTTGGGAACTGCGCGGGGGGGAAAGTGCGTAAGGCGGTGTGTGAGGTGGTGCGTCACGCGATGCGTCAGGCGGTGAGGGGCGCTTATATAGCGGCCTCCATAAAGGCAGGCATAAAAAGTGTAGGCATAAAAGGTGCAAGCATAAAATGTGTAGGCATAAAATGTGTAGGCATAAAATGTGTAGGCATAAAATGTGTAGGCATAAAATGTGTAGGCATAAAAGGTGCAGGCCTAAAAAGTGCAGCCACAAAGAACTACCTCTCAGCGACACTTACTTATGTGGGGGTACACAATGGAGGTGACGAAAATGGAAAAGGATATAGGGATGAGGCAGTTGTAGTAGTACTTAATGAGCCGAGCTCCGTCAGTGATGTTGGAGAAATGAAACATATTCTTGAAGTTGATAATTTTTTCTTTGCACGACGTGAGCACAGACATATGTATACCGGCATCCCTCGACTTGGAAGAAAATGTGGACAAGCCAGTATTCTGTTTCTTAATGTTTCCATGTTCAATGGAGCTCAACTCCCTATCCCTATTAGCATTGTGATAAATCTCGAGGTCAATTTTCTTGCGCTGTTCTTTAAAGAAAGGAGAGCTTATTTGTACATACATAATAAATAAAATGATGAAAACTTCAATCACGACAATAGTTCCAATGGATAAAGAAATGGCATTGTAATATGACTCGATATTTCCATCTTCAATAGTAACATAAGACATTAACAAATTTATTAAAAAGAAGAAGAGGGCACTGAAGCTGATTCCTGTGATTAAGTAGCCATTCACTTTTATCGCCATAAGAAGAGAGTACTTGATGGAGGATGAATACAGGAAACCAATAAACAAGCCAATGATGCCACAGATTACGTACACGTAATACTTTGAACATTTTAGAATGCTTATGCCTACTAGGAGGAGCAGCATACTGGCTAGGTTTAAAGAATTAAGCACCATGATCGATTTGAAGGATGTCCTTTCAAAGGTTAACTGAAATACAGAGGAGATGATCATGCACCCAGATAGGATGCCCATTACCACGACGAAAATATCTTCATTGTATATGCGATTTATCAGGAAGGATACATTCACTACCACGTGGGACGGAAGACTCAACAGGAGCCCGACGAAGAAAAAGATGGCCCGTATTTTGGCCGCTTCCCACGGTTGCAGCTTGTGGGTCTCCATCTTGCGATGCCTTTTCTCCTTTACGTAATGAGAGCAATTCGGTGGCTTGATTTGCAGCGGGGTCTTCCTATACTTAATTCACTACGCCAATCTGCGCTGCAACCCTTTTTTTGCGCTTCTGGCCTGGGCAGGTACTACAAAAAAGGGGTTGTAATAAAAACAAGGGCTTCTCCAATTGGGCTGCACGGGAGGGGGTCATACATATGGTCCGTAACATGAACTGCAAGCAATGCAGGGAATGCGGGCAAGCCGACTGCAAAATGGGAGCCGCACGCAAATGCAACACCAGCGCAGATGATAGGCTTACCAATTTGTGACGAGCAGCTAAACCATCCAAATGAAGATACAAGAAAGGAAAAAAAAAAAAAAAAAAAAAAAAAAAAAAAAAAAAAAAAAAAACACCACGCAGTACATATATAAACACCTTCGATGGAAACAGCGTACTCGAAGGAGACCTATAAAAAAAAAAAAAACAAAACTTTGCTCACTGCATAATAAACACCTACAGGCCACTCTCAAGTGATCCTATCAAGTTGTTGCAAAAATACCTCAAGAGAAAAATAAAACACCACCAATTAAAACGCGAATGCCTGTCGTGTACATAAATAAAAAACATAGAAAAAACAAAAAAAAAAAATACATTCAAGTGCGTGCAGATTCACCATCCAATGTCCTTACAAAACACACGGCAAGCAATCAAATGCAAAAATGATATACAAAAATGAATCACACATGTGGTCACCAATTCCATCTCTTGAAGTAGAAAAAAAAAAAAAAA